CATTCTTTGTAACTTTATGTATTTTCTCATGATATACGATCAGAATGAAACGAAAAGTAATAAAGTTATGAATCAAGAACTGAGCCTTCCATCATTATTGCTTTTTTGACAGATTATTTCTTATTTACTTATTTATAAGAAAAAAAAATTTCTGATGATAGTTGCATCACCATTTATTGACATGAAATTATTGTTATTCCACATGGCACTGGCTTTGCATCAATATCTACTCACCAGCTGTTTCATCTTTAGTGTTTGGAACCTAAACTATCTCATTTTCTATAGCACACTCCTTGACAATCAATAAAGGATTGCTCATTTAGTCACCAAGTGAAATGGACAACCGATGTATTTGTTATCTTGTAGAGAGAAACATTCACATTGACATAACAATTCATTACCGTACAGGTAGGGTGCCATGAGGGCGCATTCATGCGTGTGCATTTGTACAGTACTTCCCACCCCAAAAAATAGAGTACCCCCGAAACTCTCGAGGACAGCCAGTCCCTCATTTTCATGCCAGCATCTGATATTAAAAGGCTATGCCCTAAAAAAGCAACACTGGTAGCTTTGATGAAAAACCTGCATGCCCAAACTGAACTTCTGTTGACCACTGAGTGTTTGACACATTCCCTTCTCCCTCTGAACTGAACCTAAAGAGTGCTGAGAGAACTGAGAACTTGGATGAACAAGGTGGGACATTACGCAGCATTGAAAAGGACTTGGCTACTCCTGGTGGGAGTAGCATGCTGCATCTTGAAGGTTTAGGCCATGGATCTTTCTGAAGGCTGCCTGCTGAACTGACGCTGCGATTAACCATGGTTTCTAAGTCGTCTACCTCTTCTACCTCCTCTGCAGATGATGAGACAAGGATTTGATGCAGTAGTGGGGATGACAAAAGCAACAGCAAAAAACTTCTCACCCCATGACCTGTTTGATACATTGAGGAAATTAAATGCGTCATTCTCCTAGCGAAATCAGCAATTAGGTTATCCTTAGAAGTCCACTACTGTGGCGTTCATGGAGCCCCAGATGTTCTTTGTTCCAAGTCAGAGTAGTCCTTGAAGACAACTCTATGGCAAAAGGGTTTATCCCTTCATATACACCAGGACAGCGACATAGAGGGGACTTGATGAGAGGCTAAAAGGGTCTGCTTTGAGTGCAACTCCAGAGCTTTTACTGGCTTGGATCTACAGTGTTTAACAGGTTTCAGAGAACTGAGTGAGTTTGTTCCCTCACAGATGTGATGGTAGGAGGGCTTCTGTGATTGATTGCCCCAGAAGACGCTTTGTATATTGAAGCACACTGAATGCAGCTTCACCTGTTTAAAAGTCTATACGATGAGATACAAACTGAGCATTAGCATTTAAAGGTCAGTCATTCTGGAGAAAGACAGTTCATTGTTGAGTTTCATTCCCAGGACGTCAAATAGCAATTCTTTAGTCTCTTTGACAACCTGGGAGCCCAAACGAAATCTATTGCATTGTGTGGCTCTCTCCAAGCCACTTTGTTTGTTTCTCATTAACAAATAACCCAAAGTGTTTGTATTTGACAACCTTGGAATGAGACTTAACAATCCTTTATCTTTCTCCAAAATGACTGACTCTATCTTTAAGGGTATTTGGTTAGTAATTAATAATAAGATTACTGATGATGATGTATTGATGCAGGGTCAACAGAGATTGATACATAACTACCCTGTATGTATTGTATCATTTACTAGATTGATAGCAGTTTTTTTCAGACACAGCATATTGTGTTGTTCACCTATAAATCGCTGTTGATTCATTTAACTTTTACTTACCTCTTTAATTGAATATACAGGAGTACTGTACTGTTAACTGGCAGGGTTAACTTTTCTACTCAGACTTTAAGATTCAGTTTATCAGATTTATTATAGTAATTAGGACATAACTCCCCTAGCACTGAACGCATATCAAAAAGTATGCCTAAAATTAATAGAATATTGTCAGAATTTCAGGAATTGCTAATTGCTCGACAAAATGTACTCATAGTGTTAACATAATTGTCTTTGCTGTGTTGCTTTGTTTTTTTATCTTTCATCTCCACTGTGTGTTTTCATTGTAAAAACACAATTTATCATTAAATTCAATATAATTCTTTGTGTTTTAGAGACAGAAAGTAAAGGTAATAATTAAGACCTATAACATTAAACTGATGAACAGAAAGTTCAGCGCATGAATTGTTATTTTGATATTGTGGGTCTGTAAAGCTAATTAGATATGCAAATGCCCTGCCCCCAAATGACTGATCGTGCCCTGATGGGTGATGTGAGACTATGACGAAAACCACCAAGAGATGACATTAACCTGCATATAAAATAAAGTGACTGTGCATGAAGATGAGAAATGGGCGTAGAAAGGAGGGCAGTCATGGGGACATTGTTTGAGACATTTTCATTCTTGTATGTCTGCCTAATCTTGACTGTATTACCTTCCTCCCTTTTCTCATCAGAATCTTCTTCTCTTTTCTCATCTTGCAAATTAAGGAAACAGTTTTATCTGAATGGGATGCACAAGCCAGGTGATGTGATTCTGGGTGGGCTGTTTGAAGTCCACTACACCTCTATCTTCCCTGAACTGACATTCACCTCAGAGCCAAATCAGCTCAGCTGCCAAGGGTAAGTCTCAAACTCATGCAGCAGACAACATAAATCTGTGCAAATTATTAAATAGTATTTTACTCATGATAATAATTGTATTTTGTGTCTTAGCTTTGACCCTCCAGGGTTCAGGCATGCCATGACCATGGCTTTTGCTATTGATGAGATCAACAAAAACTCCAATCTACTACCTAATGTGACTCTAGGATACAGTCTTTATGACAACTGTGCCACACTTGTAATTGGATTCAGTGCTGCATTGTCATTGGCCAGTGGTCGAGAGGAGCAGTTTCTGCTTCAGGAGACCTGTTTGGGGACCCCTCCAGTCCTGGGGATTGTGGGTGATTCATTCTCGACATTTTCTATCGCCACCTCTGATGTTATAGGGTTATTCAAATTGCCCATTGTAAGTTCTTTTCCTCAGTCTTAGCTTGCTTTTAAAGAGCTGTATTTTAATCAATTTAAAATTTTAAAATGATAGTATATGACATGTACAATAAAGCTAAGCCTAACTTCAGCTTCTCCAAAAAGCCTTTATTTGGCATACAGAGATAATTTTACTTTAGATTTTAAAATGATGAGTTGTTAAATAGGTGAAATCATTAGAACATTTGAATGACTTGCACAAGAAGCACAATTTGTATGTACACTGTATGTTTCTTTATAGGTGAGTTATTTTGCCACATGCTCTTGTCTGAGTGATCGCCAGAGGTTTCCATCCTTCTTTAGAACAATCCCAAGTGATGCTTTCCAGGTGAAACACTACTACCAAAATAATAAGATCTCAGAATGTTCTAGAAATAACAAATGCAAAATAGTGTAGTGAGCTTCAAAAAATGGCTCCCAATCAAATAAATATTTTGTCTTGTAAAGAATAGTACTTTATTTGCTTTTGCATAGTTTATTAAACTAAACAGTTTAGTCCGTAAGAGTGTAACCACTGACACTGACAAATTATTCCAACCTATACTCCATACTCAATTAGGTGCGCGCCATGATTCAGATTCTAAAACGCTTTGGCTGGACCTGGGCCGGTCTGCTGGTCAGTGATGATGACTATGGACT